TTATTAATTAGGCATTCCACCAATTTAGGGTTAATTAAAGTTTTATTATTAATTAGGCATTCCACCAATTTAGGGTTAATTAAAGATTTATTATTAATTAGGCATTCCACCAATTTAGGGTTAATTAAAGGTTTATTATTAATAAGGCATTCCACCCATTTACTATTGTTATGGTTTTTAAAATTGTGTAGATAGTCTTCCAAATTATTATTGTTGAAATTGAGGTTTTCCATAGGGTAAAAATTATGTTGGTTATCCCTCAAAACTATTTAACTAATTAAGACTATTATTCAATCCTTATTAAAATTGTTATTATAAATTTTTCTAACCTCCCGACAATGTATTCTATTATAGTGGAGGTACTGAAGCAAAATTCATAGGCTAATTAAACTGAAACTGATTTTGTTATGGAATAAATTATTAATTCGGAGGAGGAGGTAATTAGTATGAAGTACCATAAAAATTTTATTATTATGAAGGAGGTATTTTCTAAAATTAATTTTATTAAGTTTAATTCAATTGATTTATTTAAGGTTATACTTAAGGTTCAATAATACTTCCATTTTTTATATTTTACGCCTTCAAAGTCTTATCCAAGATCAAAGGAGTTTTTCCTTCAATAATTGCATTAAATGCAGTTGGTATTTTAGTATGTTGCTAAATAGCATCCATCAATTCACTTCCTAATGAATCAGAAGAAACTTCAAACTGGTATTTACAATTCTAATAATTCAAAATCAAAGTGTAATTCTCTTCAAATTATTATTGTTATGGTTTCTGGTTGAAAACTGGATATAAAGTGTTTCCTTTTTCAACTTTCTAAGCAGCCAAAGTTTACTCCTCATTTAGTGTATATTTGTTTTCCAAACTTAATTAAAATTTTTCATTTAAATTGAAATTCTATTAAATACATAAAATCAAATCCTTAACTAATGTATCATTCATCAAACTTAAGCTATGATTCTACCCTTAGAAACTAAACATAATAATAATTTCTTATGCTTTAAAAGCTTAATTTGTTTATAAACTAGGTTATTACTATGCATTATAATTAACATTTTGAATTGGTTTTAAAAATAAAATAGAATCTTGTTTGAAATTTTAATCCTCTAAAGTTAAGTTTAGTTGAAGAACTTATTAATTTTCAAGGTGCAAATTACATTATTCTTAGATTTAAAGGGCTTATCTAAACTCCTGTATTATTTCATATACTAAAGTATTTGAATGTACTTCTATGGGATATTTTTATCCTTCATAATCGATATTCACAATAAATGTTTTGATATTTAGAGGAGATGAACTTTATTTAGTTTAAGGAGCAACTTATTAAATTTTAGGAACATTTTATGAAATTTGAGTTACAATTAATAGACTACCATTTTAAACATTCTAATTGGCTAAAGTGTCTAAAGGATTAAGAATTTATTTTCCCTCAAGACTAATTTATAAGGATCCTGAAATTGAGAAACTAAGCATGATTTGCTCTATCAACTCTGATACATTAATATTATCTTCAACTTCTATTGGTGTTTTAGCCCCTTTATAATCTAAAATCACTTAGATAACTCTTCTAACTGGCAATTTGGGTTATTTATCCTATAATTGAACTACAGTTAAGATTGAGTTATCACAAATTCCAGATTGCTTAACAGTTAAGCTTGGGTCTAAGATTTCTCCATTTACTTTTTACATCATCAATTGATTTTTCATATTGCATGTACCTTTTACATCTTCAATCAAACTCATAATTGTTGTATCTTAATTAACTTGAAAATCTAAAGTCTGATTGAATGCATTAATAATAAGATGTATATTTTATTATTTCTATTAAAATTTGAGAATGGAGTTATCTTTAATTTAATATTCTTACAGGGTTTTGCTTGAATCTAAAACCTACCCATTATAAAGAGTCACCAAATCTACATTTAAATGAAAGTATTGATTTATTTAATCTTCTATATCTTTAATAGTAATTTCATCTTCTACTTCTATTGCAATTAGAGGCTAAGTTTCATAAGACAAACTTAATTGAATTTATTTTTTTGAAACAGAGGCTTGTTCAATTTTTTTGATCACCAATCTAGAACCTTTTCCGATTTGCAATTATTGGAATGTTTCATTCGAATTCAACATTTTATCATTGTGGTATAACTTTATTTCATAATTAAGATTCAAATTTTGCTTAAGTGTACATTCAAGCTCCTACACCAAAGAATTACAAGGAACAGTAATATTTAAAGTTTATTATTCAAATAGCACTATCAAAACTATTTCTTAAATTTAAGATGCTGTTTATGTAGGATTAGTTAAGACTTACTATATGTACAATTTAGAATCGTTTTATACATTTTATTCTCTAAAAGTTTAATTTGGATTTAACACTTATCCATTTTCTAAAGTTAATTAGATTTAGGAAATCTCAAATAATGCTTATAATTCAATTGCCAATTCGTATACTTTAGCATCTGAATCTACTTCTACTGCTTAACCATTTAGAGTAGAGTGAAAAATAATTAAAGTTAATTTTGATTGCATTGGCTATTATTAATATTGAATTCCCACTGACAAGATAAAACCTTTTTGGATTTTTAAGGATTCTATTGTCTAATTGTTTGGCAAAATTTATTGATCAAGTTTTAAATTAATGTTTTCTTGAATTGAGTATATTTCTTTAACTATTTCTATGATTTCATGTATGTAAGTATCTGAAGTCACTTCAATTTGATTCTTTTAACCCCGATATTCTAAAATAATCATTACATTTTATTATGTGTGGGGTGATTATTATTATTATTATTATTATTATTATTATTATTATTATTATTATTATTATTATTATTATTATTATTATTATTATTATTATTATTATTATTATTATTATTATTATTATTATTATTATTATTATTATTATTATTATTATTATTATTATTATTATTATTATTATTATTATTATTATTATTATTATTATTATTATTATTATTATTATTATTATTATTATTATTATTATTATTATTATTATTATTATTATTATTATTATTATTATTATTATTATTATTATTATTATTATTATTATTATTATTATTATTATTATTATTATTATTATTATTATTATTATTATTATTATTATTATTATTATTATTATTATTATTATTATTATTATTATTATTATTATTATTATTATTATTATTATTATTATTATTATTATTATTATTATTATTATTATTATTATTATTATTATTATTATTATTATTATTATTATTATTATTATTATTATTATTATTATTATTATTATTATTATTATTATTATTATTATTATTATTATTATTATTATTATTATTATTATTATTATTATTATTATTATTATTATTATTATTATTATTATTATTATTATTATTATTATTATTATTATTATTATTATTATTATTATTATTATTATTATTATTATTATTATTATTATTATTATTATTATTATTATTATTATTATTATTATTATTATTATTATTATTATTATTATTATTATTATTATTATTATTATTATTATTATTATTATTATTATTATTATTATTATTATTATTATTATTATTATTATTATTATTATTATTATTATTATTATTATTATTATTATTATTATTATTATTATTATTATTATTATTATTATTATTATTATTATTATTATTATTATTATTATTATTATTATTATTATTATTATTATTATTATTATTATTATTATTATTATTATTATTATTATTATTATTATTATTATTATTATTATTATTATTATTATTATTATTATTATTATTATTATTATTATTATTATTATTATTATTATTATTATTATTATTATTATTATTATTATTATTATTATTATTATTATTATTATTATTATTATTATTATTATTATTATTATTATTATTATTATTATTATTATTATTATTATTATTATTATTATTATTATTATTATTATTATTATTATTATTATTATTATTATTATTATTATTATTATTATTATTATTATTATTATTATTATTATTATTATTATTATTATTATTATTATTATTATTATTATTATTATTATTATTATTATTATTATTATTATTATTATTATTATTATTATTACTATTACTATTACTATTATTGAATTTCTACTGACAAGATAAAACCTTTTTTGATTTGTAAGGATTCTATTGTCTAATTGTTTGGCAAAATTTATTGATTAAGTTTTAAATTAATGTTTTCTTGAATTGAGTATATTTCTTTAACTATTTCTATGATTTCATGTATGTAAGTATCTGAAGTCACTTCAATTTGATTCTTTTAACCACGATATTCTAAAATAATCATTATATTTTATTATGACATCACAAGTTATTATTACTTAGGTTAGATATAGTTTTATTGCTCTATTTGTATTTAATTAGAATTCTAGGTATTTGTTTATAACTCATTTAATTAAACATCTTTATTAATGACATCTTTAGATTAACAATTAATAATAGAATTTCCAATAATGTTATATTGTGCTAATTAAGCATTTTTACTTAATGGAGTTCCTTAAAAGTAAAGTGTAAATGTATCTTCAGCAATCTAGAACATTGTAGCGACTTCAGTATATAATTCTTATGCCATAGCTGCTAAACTAATATGTGGAAAAATGGATTTCCCATCTTTTACAATTTTTAGAAAGGCATACTCAAAAGTCTTAGTCACTCTCAAATCTAAAACAGATCCTGTATTCACTTTATTTTCTAATAATGTTTTATCTCTTTGAAGTTCAATATTGTTCATGAATAATCCAAATTACTTATTTTAAATAGGTAATTTCAATGTAGAAACCAATTTGTCGATGAAATCTTGAATCTTTCTATAACTCATTGATTCTGAGTTAAATTTTTTCCCCTCATATTGTACTATAAATTATAGCATCTATTATTTTAAGATATAATTATTATTAAAAATTCTGAATTAGGAAATATCATATATAAAACAAAATTCACAATTATAATATTTAATGAAGGATAATGTCTTATCTTCATCACATTTTATATGAAAAATATCTAAACTAAAATCTATTAGCATAAATTATCATAAAGTAATTATTAAAATATGAATTAGGATAAACAATTCTACCTCTATACAATAGTGGATCAAAAACCAGATAATAATTTTTCAGTTGTTGGAGTTATTGATGGATCTGGAAGTATGAGTGAATGCTGGGAAGACTTATGCAAAGCTTGGAATAATTTCATACAAGATATCTAAAGTTCATATTGTATTCAATTTGATGATACTGCTATATTGTAGTAGAATCCTAAATTGAAAGAATAGAAAGGAGAAGGAACAAATATATCTTTGGGTTTTCATGAATTAATCAAACTAATAAAGAGTGAAAAATTGAAAAAAAATGTCATTGTAATATTTATCACAGATGGAGTTGGAGAAGATGTATTGGAGGATTATATAGATAATTTAGCAGAAAACTTTTCAAAATTTCATGAAGAAGAATATTAATTTAAGTTTTTTACTTTGGCAATAGGGGAAACTTTTTCTCATACTATTGTGGCTGAATTGAAAAATAGAATTCATAATTCAACATTAATCAGTTCTTAGATGGAATACATTTCAAATCCAAAAATTGATTTTTAAAATAAATTGTAATAAATCAAAGAGGAAATTTTCTATAAATTGGTTAGAGTTGAACCTCCTGTAGCTTTGGTTCCATATGGGAAAAAATAGAGGAGACTTGCACCCAATCAAACGGTTTTCTCAGAAACTCCAATAATCAAAGTAAATGGAGAGGATATCAATCTTAAGCAATATTAAATAACATACCACGATTTATATTAGTTTGTCAATTAGATTTTCTTAAAACTAATGGAAGATAGATACCAGAGGGTTGAAAACAGTCAAAGATGAGGCAACAAAACAGCTCTAGATAATTAACGCTTTAATGAAGAGAGTCTCTTAAGAAGATGGCAGTGATTATAAATAAGATATCGAAGAAACAATTACAAAGATTAAAGCTTTTGCATCAGGATCACAATAATTAAAATTACTATCAGCTAAAGATGCAGCACAATCTATTACTAAATTGTAAGCAGCTATTTTGGCTAAAAACTTTAAACGATAAGATGTATTTAATTTTCAAATCCTATTAGAATTATGAATAAAAACCAGTCACAAATGAAAAACTAGAGAAAGCTAAGTAAAAATTAAATAGCATGAAGAAATCAGTTAAAATTAAAACTATATATCCTTAAATTGAATAGTTTTTTAAAGAGAATTCTAATGCAAGCCCTTAATTATTAGTAAAATTACTACAAGAAAAAAGAGGAGGTTAGAATCTGCAAAGATATGCATTAGAATATTAAGGGGAATGCACTCTATTGTTTGAATTGCTGTACATTTGCAACTCATGAATCATTAACAATTTTTTTGTAATCAAGTATTTGTCACATTTCTGTTTCTCTAGTCTTCCATTTGTTTTAGAATGAATCAAATTGTGGATTATAAATTTTTAAGATTTTAAGCAGAGTTCAACTTATTTCTAATTCTTCTCAATCCTATCTATTGGATATCTATATTTGAGTTAAGTGTTAGTTACTGTTATAGCATGTGATTTATTAGTTAATCATTATGATTAGCATCTGTTTCATCCAATTATTTTTTTAATATCTAGTATTTTATCATTCTTTAATTAATCTTTTTCTTTTTAATTAATTAGGAGCATTTCAGTGAATAGAGTAATTTTTAACATTTTAAATTAGCTTTATACATTAATTGGTCATATTTTAATAAATTTGGTCTCCCTTAACATTTAATAGGGTACAATCTCTGATCTGAATTAACTTATTCATAATCATTATTTTAATTATACTCCTAAACTTAAAAAAATTAGACACACGAGAATTGTGGCATAATTCGGATAAAGAGACTAAAATTCAGTGGTAGATGAAATAAAATTCAAAATTAATAGAAAGTAAGTTATTTTAAGCATATATATATATATCAATAATTATAGATAAATAAATGAATTTGGAAATCTTCACAAAAGCTTCATTTCTTAAATTACTTTTGCTTTTTCATTACCACTTTCCAAATATTACAATGATTCCTCATAATACTGTTTGGCTTCATCTTTTCTTCTTAACTCTGCATGCACCTACCCCAGATTCTTTAATAGTTAGCCCATATTAGGTATCTTGACTTTTGAATTATAGACTCTCATCAATATTTATCGGCAGCTTTCAAAATCTTAGCATTTGTTCATTTCTTCCGCCAATTCAATCAACAAATCTAGGTCATTTACTTCTGTTTATTCCATTCTTTATAAACACTATTTAGCCTACTAACCTCTTTTTTGTTACAAGCAATTCAGAGCTTAATATCCCCATACTTCACCATTAAACGGTTCATGAATACTAGCTTGACAAAGACATTCTTCTGCAATAGGATCTTTCAATCTCAAATTTGATATTCCAAGTCCTAACCAAGTTAAGGAACTATTTGAAGGAACTTATTAATCTAAGGCTCGTTCAAAGATAGCCTTTGCATCTTGCCAAGACTTACGTTTCAAATACAAATAGCCCAATCTTAATAGAATATCAAAAGATCTTTTATGTTAAATAGATAAGGCTTTCAAAAAAGTTTCTTCTGCTTCATAAAATTGATCTGTTTGATAGCATAAAGCACCTTTAATTAAATAAACTTCATAATTTTTTGGATTTTGATTTAAGATTTTTTGAATTAGACTTTGAGCTTCTGCATAGTTTTCATTGAAAATATGAATCTAAGCTTTGATTATATTAATTTTTTGAGTTGTTTTATCTTTGATATTCACAAGTGCTTTTTCAGCTAGATCAAATAAGCTACGAGATGCAAAATACTCAATTAATTCTAATTGTATTTAGTCAGTTTATTCTTAAGTCAAAACAGGGGCCTTCTTAGCTTTTTCCTATTGTTCTATCATTTATTATTTGAAATTTGGTAATACATGAGGATCTGGTTATTGTTTAGGAAATCTTAAATAAACAATAGAAATCATACCCTTTAGTCAGTAAGCCCATTGTTCTCATAAAAATTCTTTATGTGCATCTCAGATATTTGTCAGCCATATTTTAATTTCCTTGTTGCTTATAAATAAAGGACATTAAGAGATTGAAAAGTGTATTTATTGGTTCTTTTTAGAGTAAGGCTTAAACAATATTAGTGGCTTCTTTAAATCGTTCTCTTCTAATGTAAAGACAAGCCATCAATAATTCATTTTCTTTATTCCATTCTATATCTCTAACCATTTAGATTAACTATTCAGCTGCTTTAAATCTCTGAATTTTGAAACAATATTTAGCAAAAATTGTTGCTGATTTAGGATCCACTAAAACCATATTAGTATAATATTTCAGAGCCTAATCAACTTAATTGATTGTTTCATATTATTCAGCAAATCTTTTGAATTTCTTAAATGCCTATTCTTTCAAAGATTGAAACACTACATCTCTATCTCTTTGATTTTAATCATAAGTTTAATATAAGTCTTCATGAATGTCTTCTTTATTATTAATAACGTATTCACCAAGTGTGGTTTACATTTCTTCCATCATAAAAACATATAGTTCTGCAAAAAGTCTGTCTTATTCATCTTTATTTACACCTACAAATAATCCTTCCTTAGCAAATTTATCAATACAAACTCTAATAATAGATGATCTCAATCTATCCTAAAGGATTTTATATTTCCCTGATTAATTTATTTCATTAAGAAAGGACTCTTTCTTTTTTTATAATTCCTGTCTTTTTTAAACTGTTAAATTGGCACTAACTTTTACCTTTTGATCACTAGGATTAAGTTTAGAATATTCCTCATCTAATGCTTTCATAGCTTCTTTAATGTCCCCTAGAAATAATCATCACAAAAGAATACTTTGAAATTAACCAACACACTCAAATTTATTGGGTATTCTTTAAACAATTATTGGTTCTATATTCAAAACTGGAATTTCTTCAACCAAAGGAGTTAATGNATCATTCTTTAATTAATCTTTTTCTTTTTAATTAATTAGGAGCATTTCAGTGAATAGAGTAATTTTTAACATTTTAAATTAGCTTTATACATTAATTGGTCATATTTTAATAAATTTGGTCTCCCTTAACATTTAATAGGGTACAATCTCTGATCTGAATTAACTTATTCATAATCATTATTTTAATTATACTCCTAAACTTAAAAAAATTAGACACACGAGAATTGTGGCATAATTCGGATAAAGAGACTAAAATTCAGTGGTAGATGAAATAAAATTCAAAATTAATAGAAAGTAAGTTATTTTAAGCATATATATATATATCAATAATTATAGATAAATAAATGAATTTGGAAATCTTCACAAAAGCTTCATTTCTTAAATTACTTTTGCTTTTTCATTACCACTTTCCAAATATTACAATGATTCCTCATAATACTGTTTGGCTTCATCTTTTCTTCTTAACTCTGCATGCACCTACCCCAGATTCTTTAATAGTTAGCCCATATTAGGTATCTTGACTTTTGAATTATAGACTCTCATCAATATTTATCGGCAGCTTTCAAAATCTTAGCATTTGTTCATTTCTTCCGCCAATTCAATCAACAAATCTAGGTCATTTACTTCTGTTTATTCCATTCTTTATAAACACTATTTAGCCTACTAACCTCTTTTTTGTTACAAGCAATTCAGAGCTTAATATCCCCATACTTCACCATTAAACGGTTCATGAATACTAGCTTGACAAAGACATTCTTCTGCAATAGGATCTTTCAATCTCAAATTTGATATTCCAAGTCCTAACCAAGTTAAGGAACTATTTGAAGGAACTTATTAATCTAAGGCTCGTTCAAAGATAGCCTTTGCATCTTGCCAAGACTTACGTTTCAAATACAAATAGCCCAATCTTAATAGAATATCAAAAGATCTTTTATGTTAAATAGATAAGGCTTTCAAAAAAGTTTCTTCTGCTTCATAAAATTGATCTGTTTGATAGCATAAAGCACCTTTAATTAAATAAACTTCATAATTTTTTGGATTTTGATTTAAGATTTTTTGAATTAGACTTTGAGCTTCTGCATAGTTTTCATTGAAAATATGAATCTAAGCTTTGATTATATTAATTTTTTGAGTTGTTTTATCTTTGATATTCACAAGTGCTTTTTCAGCTAGATCAAATAAGCTACGAGATGCAAAATACTCAATTAATTCTAATTGTATTTAGTCAGTTTATTCTTAAGTCAAAACAGGGGCCTTCTTAGCTTTTTCCTATTGTTCTATCATTTATTATTTGAAATTTGGTAATACATGAGGATCTGGTTATTGTTTAGGAAATCTTAAATAAACAATAGAAATCATACCCTTTAGTCAGTAAGCCCATTGTTCTCATAAAAATTCTTTATGTGCATCTCAGATATTTGTCAGCCATATTTTAATTTCCTTGTTGCTTATAAATAAAGGACATTAAGAGATTGAAAAGTGTATTTATTGGTTCTTTTTAGAGTAAGGCTTAAACAATATTAGTGGCTTCTTTAAATCGTTCTCTTCTAATGTAAAGACAAGCCATCAATAATTCATTTTCTTTATTCCATTCTATATCTCTAACCATTTAGATTAACTATTCAGCTGCTTTAAATCTCTGAATTTTGAAACAATATTTAGCAAAAATTGTTGCTGATTTAGGATCCACTAAAACCATATTAGTATAATATTTCAGAGCCTAATCAACTTAATTGATTGTTTCATATTATTCAGCAAATCTTTTGAATTTCTTAAATGCCTATTCTTTCAAAGATTGAAACACTACATCTCTATCTCTTTGATTTTAATCATAAGTTTAATATAAGTCTTCATGAATGTCTTCTTTATTATTAATAACGTATTCACCAAGTGTGGTTTACATTTCTTCCATCATAAAAACATATAGTTCTGCAAAAAGTCTGTCTTATTCATCTTTATTTACACCTACAAATAATCCTTCCTTAGCAAATTTATCAATACAAACTCTAATAATAGATGATCTCAATCTATCCTAAAGGATTTTATATTTCCCTGATTAATTTATTTCATTAAGAAAGGACTCTTTCTTTTTTTATAATTCCTGTCTTTTTTAAACTGTTAAATTGGCACTAACTTTTACCTTTTGATCACTAGGATTAAGTTTAGAATATTCCTCATCTAATGCTTTCATAGCTTCTTTAATGTCCCCTAGAAATAATCATCACAAAAGAATACTTTGAAATTAACCAACACACTCAAATTTATTGGGTATTCTTTAAACAATTATTGGTTCTATATTCAAAACTGGAATTTCTTCAACCAAAGGAGTTAATGCAGGTTCAGTCTCTATTTCTACTTTCACATACATCTTATCACAATTGTATTTAGGACAATCTGAATTTTCTTCTTATTTTAAAAATGCTCTAGCTGTTGTACGAGTACATCCTGGTTCTAATAAATCTGATAAATCAAAAACACCCTTAAATATTATTTAAGTTAATTCAGCATTATTTAAATTCTTAGTCTTACCTTTTTTCAATTTAACTAATTCTTCCTCTGTAATAGCAGGTTATCTAATAAAATAAATGAAATTTCTGTTTTCAAGAATCTCTTCTTCTAATTAACGTACATTTTTTATTTCAATAGTATGAGTTTCTTCATATTATATGCTAATAGTTTTGAATTTGTCTTCTGAAATAAAAAACAATTTATCCTATTCTTAAAGAGTCCCCAAATGTTATTATTTTTTCAATTCTTCCTCTTCCTCTAAAGCCAATGCTTTCTTCATTTATTCTTCTTCCTCTGGACTCTTAGTGTCTTTTTTATTCTTTTTACTATTTTTCTAATACTCTTCAAACTTCTCTCTCTCTGTCAATTCTCGACCCTTTATTTTGCCAAACATATCTTCCCCTTAGTAACGAACTACATTTGCAAATATTCCAGGATTCGTTTCATCTGTTAATTTCCAATCTTCTGCAAATCCATAAACTCCCTTTGATAATTATGTTATTGCCACTTTACTTTGACAGTTATTTATATTTTGAACAACTCTATTGGATTATTAACCTTTTCTAAGAGAGACAATAATTTTGGATCTGGTTCCATTAAATTTAATAATTATTTATGTAAACTAATTATTCACCTCCTTCAACTCCTTCAAACATCTTTGAAAAACTTAAACATTATAGAAAAAGTTAAATGTCCTCTGTTTTACGAAATCTATTAAACAGTCCTCCAAGCAGACCAACAACTATGTAAAAACCCTAACTTAAGTTACAATCCTTCTCATAGAGGACATCACCAATTCCAAAAGATTTGTCAGTATTTGAAAGAACTCAAGATCAAACAGTCAAACATTTAGACTTCAGTCATCTCCATGAGTTTGAGATTAGAACACCAAATATGACTCCTCATTCACCTTTAAACTCAAAAAATCAGATGAGTAGAGTATTAAATTTATGTGATTCTTTTTCAAGGAACAAAAAATGAACTCTTTCATCAATTCATAAAGGTACAACAAGAATGACAAGAGATACAATATCGTCCTATTTTTTGAAGAGAATTCTCTTGTTTTTTAGGATATAATTCGAAGAAAGGATGCTGAACGAATTGTCAATTTATTTTAAACTCCCATGCTCTTGGCATAATAAGAGAATGTATTCAATTAAATTTAATTCTATATAGTTAACTTAGACCTTTTCAGNTTTAAACAATTATTGGTTCTATATTCAAAACTGGAATTTCTTCAACCAAAGGAGTTAATGCAGGTTCAGTCTCTATTTCTACTTTCACATACATCTTATCACAATTGTATTTAGGACAATCTGAATTTTCTTCTTATTTTAAAAATGCTCTAGCTGTTGTACGAGTACATCCTGGTTCTAATAAATCTGATAAATCAAAAACACCCTTAAATATTATTTAAGTTAATTCAGCATTATTTAAATTCTTAGTCTTACCTTTTTTCAATTTAACTAATTCTTCCTCTGTAATAGCAGGTTATCTAATAAAATAAATGAAATTTCTGTTTTCAAGAATCTCTTCTTCTAATTAACGTACATTTTTTATTTCAATAGTATGAGTTTCTTCATATTATATGCTAATAGTTTTGAATTTGTCTTCTGAAATAAAAAACAATTTATCCTATTCTTAAAGAGTCCCCAAATGTTATTATTTTTTCAATTCTTCCTCTTCCTCTAAAGCCAATGCTTTCTTCATTTATTCTTCTTCCTCTGGACTCTTAGTGTCTTTTTTATTCTTTTTACTATTTTTCTAATACTCTTCAAACTTCTCTCTCTCTGTCAATTCTCGACCCTTTATTTTGCCAAACATATCTTCCCCTTAGTAACGAACTACATTTGCAAATATTCCAGGATTCGTTTCATCTGTTAATTTCCAATCTTCTGCAAATCCATAAACTCCCTTTGATAATTATGTTATTGCCACTTTACTTTGACAGTTATTTATATTTTGAACAACTCTATTGGATTATTAACCTTTTCTAAGAGAGACAATAATTTTGGATCTGGTTCCATTAAATTTAATAATTATTTATGTAAACTAATTATTCACCTCCTTCAACTCCTTCAAACATCTTTGAAAAACTTAAACATTATAGAAAAAGTTAAATGTCCTCTGTTTTACGAAATCTATTAAACAGTCCTCCAAGCAGACCAACAACTATGTAAAAACCCTAACTTAAGTTACAATCCTTCTCATAGAGGACATCACCAATTCCAAAAGATTTGTCAGTATTTGAAAGAACTCAAGATCAAACAGTCAAACATTTAGACTTCAGTCATCTCCATGAGTTTGAGATTAGAACACCAAATATGACTCCTCATTCACCTTTAAACTCAAAAAATCAGATGAGTAGAGTATTAAATTTATGTGATTCTTTTTCAAGGAACAAAAAATGAACTCTTTCATCAATTCATAAAGGTACAACAAGAATGACAAGAGATACAATATCGTCCTATTTTTTGAAGAGAATTCTCTTGTTTTTTAGGATATAATTCGAAGAAAGGATGCTGAACGAATTGTCAATTTATTTTAAACTCCCATGCTCTTGGCATAATAAGAGAATGTATTCAATTAAATTTAATTCTATATAGTTAACTTAGACCTTTTCAGAAATGATCTTGTATTTAGCTACATTCTTTCTGGATTGCTAAGAATATTCAAAAGCTACATTTTTTCTTAAGGATTGCTATACTCTTTCAAATCTAACTCGTAATCCATTATTAAAAGTCAAAACTCTATTAGTTTTAGCATAATGTGCTAAACAGTAAAATATAGTATATTTATAGATATAAGTTATTTGACTAACAAATTCTTATAGTCTAAAAAGCCCTAATGTACACATGGGCATTTGATTACCATGATCTAGAAATTCAATGTTATGATGCCATGGGAATTGCATACTTTTATCAAGGCAATATTTAAAGAGCTGAGTTTTATCATTAGAAATGGACCAGTGGATTTTTAGAATCACCAAAATCATATTATAGGATTACAGCATTAGAATTTATTTCGATGTTTGAGAAAACACTACCAACTAAAGCTATAGATTTTATGTCTTCTATTCAAGGATCAATTAGTATCCCATTCATTAACATTGCGAATGGAAAGTATTATGATGATAAAAGATTTATTAAGTATAATAATTGCAATCCTATTGAAATTATTACAACTCTAGTGGCAGCTAAAGAATTCAAAGAATTCAATTTAGTACATCATGAATAGACGTAAGCAATGAATACAACACATTAGAGACAACCAAAACTACCAAAAAAGATACTTGAAATAACAGAAAAATATCATAAAAACAAAGAATTATATGAGTTTGACCATAAAATCTATGATAATCCAAAATATAAATTAACTTTATAATAATAGGTAGATCATAGAATAACATAATCATTTTCATTGGAATAAGTAAATATAAACATTCGTAAGTTTATTTCAACTTAAAGAGAACCATTTATCAAAGCATAACAAATCTATATAAGAGCAAATAATATTTAAAAAGAATTCATCCCTGCTTTTGTAGTTAGATATAAAAAAATGCTTTTACAGATATTAAAATGAATACATATACTATTCATTTTTTGTAAATAATTATGAATATCTTTATATATATATATTTCTTTAAATTTATTATTAAAATAATAATAATAGAATGAATGTTTTGGTTTTTTATTACTTTTTTATATTAATATTTTATTAAAAAGTATTAATAAAATTACTAAATAAATTAGATTTTACTTAAAGATAATAAAATTAATAACAAGATAATTAAAAGATACTTACTATAAAATAAAATTAATTAAAATAAAATATCTTAATCATTTTGATTCAAATTATTAATTTAACCCTAAATTTTCGATAAAAATGATTAATTAATTTATGATTTATTATATTATTCTATATGAAAACCTTTTTAACTTATTAATACAAATTTATACTTATTATTTGATTTAATTAATATATTAATAATTATCATTAATCGTATCTTACCATAATGTTGTGTATAATGGAAATTAATTAAGGTACTTTTGAACCCATATTAACTAATCTGTTTCTTTGATTGTTTTCGACTTTAAGATAGGTAAAAAGATTTATATTCTTTAGTTTATGTTTGAAATTCTAAATAAAATAAAAAAATTTATTAATCATTCAGGAATAATTATTTAACATGATTCAATTAACATATAAATTTAATAATTTATTAAACAATTTATTAAATTAATTTGATGAAAAGTAAACAAGAAATTCAAAATGACATAAAAAAACTTTGCTACTCTATTTTAACTAGAATAAAAAAGAATTAGAATGAGAATGAGAATGTGAAGTATTACTTAAAAAGATACAAGAAAATAATTAAAGAAGCCACAGAACTTTAGATGGAGGTCTTCAAATTACAATTCAAAATATGAAATCCTTATAAACATATATCTAAAAATATTTATAATCTAAATATTAAATTTTCAATCCTCCACAACTTCAATTTTCAGAAAAAGTAGCCTTCAGAAATAATATACAATAAATCTTTTTTTAGGCTGCAAATTTGCAGAACTAGATTAAATAAAGCTTACATAAACATGTTAAATAGAAAACCCTTTCATAATATATGAAGGATTTGATTGTATCGATTGCCATGAAATCAATTATTTCAATAGGTCAATTATTTAAATCAAAATAAAATTCACTGAATATTGATAAGTATAATATTAGAAGAAATTCATTATATATATATGTATAATTATAGATGATAATTTCATATCAATACAGAAGTATAAGATAGTTGTGATAAATTATATAAAAATTTTAAACAAATTCTATATGATAAATAAAATTAAATGAATTTAATTAATGTGTGATATGTATAATACAATTTATATTGAGATTACATAAAATAAATTACACGTTTATCATTTATTTAAAATTTTCTTAACCAAATACTTTAGGCCAGCAAAACCAAGGATTATAGCCAAACTTATTCCAATACTTGTAAAATAATCTTCGGATGTATCCTGCTGTCTTCTTGACCTCCTTGATGTTTATTATGGAATGTCTTGGAAATAGGAATCGAAGAAGGGAAGGAAATTCATCAATATAAATCCAAGAAAGAAAATTATCATAAAACTTCTTGCATTAGCTTATTGTCCTTATCCTAAATTAAAATTTGACATCATCATAAATGGCATTCCAAAACTAAAACCAAATTAAAAATTTCCGAATTGTTATTATTAATTAGTCTATTATTATCTTGGATTTGTAGGTCTTTTAGGAATTTCTGATTGTTTTGATTCTTTAGAGTCCCCTGTGAAGATAGTAGTGACCTTTTCTAATTCAAAGATATTTGAACAATATGGACATACTAAGGGATTCTTCTTTTAAGCCCACTAGAAAGGATATAAATTAAATAATTTACAGTATAGAGACACTACCAACAATATAAATGACCACATGGTGTGATAACTGGCTCTGATGCTAAATCTAAACATATTTTGCATTAAAATTTTTTGTATTTTTCGTCATCTGATTTTTGATTATTCATAATATATTTTAATAAAAATAAAAAAGTTATAACATTTCTTATTTTTCTAAGTATTTAAAAAATGATATGATGTGTAAGCAAAATTTATTTTTAAATTTATGGATCAAATAATTGGTGCAGTGATAAATGAATATCGATTCTTAAAGCTATTAGGAACTGGATCCATGGCAGAGTAACAATTGAAATTATTTAAAAAGTGTATATCAAGTTTAAGATGTGACTTCATAAATTTATTATGCCATAAAAGTATATACTTGCCCTGGCAGTGATATAAGATGCCACAATGAAGCTAAAATCTTAGAAAAATTGAATCATCCCAATATTATAACTTTAAGGAAGAATTAGCAAATGAAATTCAAGGTAAGATTCAAGATACTATTCACAGGGGGATTTAGGAGATATTATAACATTGGATTGTTTAATTTTGGAATATTTAGAAAAAGGCGATTTATTTGAATTTATAGCAAAAACTGGTAAATTTGAAGAGAGTCTGTGTCGTTATTACTTTAGGTAATTGACTCAAGTAGTTGATTTCATGCATGGATAGGGATTTGTTCATAGGAATCTAAAATTAGAGTCAATATTATTAGATAGAAAATTTAATCTAAAACTATGCAATTTTGCCTGTGCTTAATATTTAAATAAATATAAAGATGGCAAATTGAAAACTAAGGTTGGAACTAAAAGTATATAATATATATATATATAAAGATTACCAAGCACCAGAAGTCTTATATGGAGCTATATATGATGGAGTTAAAGCAGATGTTTTTTCATTGGGAGTCATATTATTCATAATGTATAAGGGTTAGCCACCATTTTCGAAAGCTAACTAATAAGATGCATTATATAATTTGATCATTTAGGAGAATTATAAATAATTTTGGGAAATTCATTCGTAGAAAATTGAATTTTCCTTTGATTTCAAGTACTTTATAATTTAATTAAAGGGAACTCTTTTTGGGCATGGTAAATCCAAATCCAGAAAAGAGGTTCAATATGGAGGGAGTAAAGAATTCGAAATGGTTTGGAGGAGTTTCTAAGACCATTTAAGATGCTTTCGAAGAAATGATTAATAGAGAAAAATATATTCTTAAGGTCTGACTTGTTAAATGATTATTATTAATAATAAAAATGGGTAACTCTTATACTACAGATAAAAGTATGAGGAATCCCAGAATAAAGAATTTATGAATATTATAGAAAATTTGGTTTTTCGTAAATTGAGAATAATTTAATTTTTATTCTTGAAATTGGATGAATATTATATAATAAGAGAAAATGAGTTAATTAGGATAATGACTATTAGTAGTAGACCCCAGATATTGAATGTTAAATTGAAATTGCTTTAATAATAGCAAAGTTTTTATATATGAAAAGACCTGTTATTTATTTTAGAAATGCTGTTGTTAAGATATCGAATTCATTTAAGAAAACCGTATTAAAACAAAATATGATGAAAATTTAAAACTATTGTATGTGATTATTGCAATATATTAAATTAATGGATGAAATTACTAAAATTTATCAAGAAAAAATAATTATGTGTGTAAATCATTTATTTGAAAAAATAACTATGAGAAAAATAAATAATGGAATTAACTAGTTCTTATTAAGTGATGAAAATGCATGTTGTTTTAAGTAATGTTTATAGAAACCATAAATTATATAAAAAGTTTGAAGGGTATGAATTGACAGTCAAATTTTATAATATCATTAATATAATAATGATTATTGGATAAGGATAAGATTGAAGTTATAGATATGAATGTATATAATAATCTATGGGAAGAATAATAAAAAAAGGTGAATATCAATTAGCATATTTAAATGTATAACCTTTTTCATTTTTATTATTAATATTTAAATATATATGTTTTTCCCAGAATAGGAATATAAGATTAGTACTAAAGTAGATATTCTACATATATATTAGAGTGAAGAGGAGTTGAAGAAGTTGACTTTGGAAGAAGATTTAAGTGAATGTTAAAGATCTATTTATATTTTGACAAAGGGATAATAATTGCAAAAAAAAGCTGTATATTATTGTTTTATATCTCTAGATTTATTCTAATTTACACAAGATTTTAAGGGAACCTAATGCTTTTGAATTTCTATTTTAAGTTATAATGTAAATATATTAATTCTACAATTTCAAGCGAAGAAATCTAATAACAAGAAGAAGACAATTAAATAATTGCAGCTAAATCACTTTAGAAGTTAATTAAAGAGAATTCTTTATAAATTGAAGAATTATTACAAATTTATGATTTGACAACTCAAATATTAAAAATTTGGTCACTTCCAGTTTTAAATGAATGGGTTTTAACTATGGATATATTACTAAGAACAATAGGCATAAACAATATTCTTATTCCAGTTTAATAATTAATACTACTTTTAACTGATAGTTCATAACCAACAATGTCTCGTTAAAGCTCTGCTAAACTAATAGGTACTTTAGCTTAAGTAATATTTGTTTTAAATATATAAGCTACTTGGAAATGAAATTAAAGGTCCAATTCTTGATAGGGCTAGGAATTTATGTTCAGATCATGATAAAGAAATTCGATTAATTATGGCTGATGATGTGTTAATTAAAGTTTGTTAATCAATATCCAGTGATTTAATAGAGTGTTATTTAATAGAAAAAATAATGGAATTATATTATGATACTGATTAAATTGTAAGAAGTTCAGGTATGAAGTTATTTTTTACAATTGCAAATAATTTATCAGTAGATGAAATTAAAAATAGATGTACTAAATAATTTATTGATTCAATATAAAGTTAAAATGAAGAGAATAGATTAGTCATGTCTAAAATGTGTGGACGAGTATTTCATCTTGTAATTAAATATCTTTATTTATAATTAGATAAAAGATTATTTGAATTAAAATTAATTCACACTTTTTCTTAATATTTATATGTCTTATCCTAAAAGTAAGAACATAGATATAAGAGTCAACTTTATTAGTAATTTCCCTGCTCTTTTATCTTTGGCAGCAAAGAAATTTGAATATTTTTAAGAATCTTATCTACAATGTTGTAATGACACTAATGAATTTGTTTTAAGAGCCATAATCAATTGTTTTCATGAAGTTGTACTACTTTCTGAAAATACTGACATATTGTTTTAAGTTTTCATTAATTTTATGAAATCAAAGAGTTTAACTATATTGGATATTTTAATATTTAGATTTTCATCTATTATTAATTCATTTCAAAAACAAGTATTATGTTCATAATATGCTTAGTCAGTAACAACCACAATTTGGCCAACCAGCACTTGAATTATTGAATAATCTAATTACAAGAAATCTTTGGGATTTCTAAATTTAATTGCTTGAACAATTTAAAAAATGCCAGTAAATTTTTAATGATGTTAATATGTTTATGAATGCAATGATTAATGTAATTGCTAAGGGTATTCCTAAAACTAAACAATTATGTTGTGATAATATAGCTTAATATCTAAGTCAGTATGGAGATTTGAGAAAAAGAAAGGATTGGATAATTTAATTATTTGATCTTTATTTCAAATCTGATATCTACTATAATAGAATTACCTTTATTAATATTGTTGAATCATTTTCTGAATTCATATCTAAGAAATTATTCAAACAATATGAGTTCTTTGATATTCTAATATTTTCAAAAGATCCTATTGTAAATGTCAGAATGAGATTAATAAAGGTAATTATTTAAAATAATTGTAGATTTTACCATTATTATTTAAAAAAATAGATAATGATGATCTAATTATCTTAAATATGTTTAATGAAGCAGTTTAAGATTGTATTATGAATGGATCTCGTTCTTTTTAATTTATGATTCAGTAAACCAAAGAGGAGTTATTAAAACCTAATGATGAAAATTCATTAAATAAAAAAGATTAAGAAATGATGGAGAAAGAAGAAATCATATTTAAGAATGATTAAAAGTAAAGACAACTATTATTGGATTAAGAGAGGGATGATTTGGAAATTAATAAAATTGATTTAAATGATTACTTAAATAAATACAAAAAAAAGTATCCACTTAGCAAAATCAAGAATACCAATTAAAGTTAAACTAATTTGTTTAAAAAACAATAAATTTAAAATGGAGCTTCTACCTTAATAATTAAGAAATCAGTAGATTTTGATTCCAAGAGTCCTTTATTAGAATGTACTTAAATTACAAAAAAGCCAGTCTTGAAATCCAAAACTCCTACAACAAAAAGTATGAGTGATATTAAAAAGCAATTCAAGCTTCCAAGTATCAAAAAATGATATATATTATATATATATATATATATTAATATATGAAATTATAAACAAGTAGTAGTTAAGAATATTTGAGTTCTAGGCCATTTGAAACAAAATAATCAAAGAATATATTCACTATAAATGATTCTAGATATAAACATATTAAAAACTTAGAAAAAAAGAACAAATAGTTAACAAATAAATTAGTTGATCTACAAACTGATTTGGCACAAATAGATGAATTCAAAATAGCTATATCTCTTGATAGACCTCCTATGAAAAATTCAAGAGCATTGTTTTTTAGTACAAATGATGTAAAGAAGGGGAAGTTACAATTAGAGCCTTAAGAAATTAATGATGATTTTCATCAAAGAAGAATAGAGATTATGAAAGCACAATTATAAAAATAATAAAGGTATATTAAAAGACTTACTACTATTTTATAAACTACAAGGAAATTCTATGAAGATCTTAGAGAATATATGGTATATATTACTGTATGATATTTTTAGTAATACTTTTCTTCAGTTTTGAGGTAATCTGCATAAGGGAATGATTATTATATAGTTGAACAAAAGGAGACTATAACATCTTAATAAGTCATTCAATCACCCACAAATAAGGAAATGAATAATTAAAATGAAGAAATTAAGCAATAAAAAAATTAGATCTAAAAAAAGGTTTAATTTACATTAGATGATTCTTTTGATAGATAGTAGTCTTAAAGTAAAATACAGAGAATTACAAAAGATAAAGAGTTTATGGAAGTGGCAGAGAAGTAATAATAATACATTTCATTAAAAAATTTATTATAATAATTTAAGAGTAATGAAGACAGGGAAAATTTTATATCAACATTTACATTAGCATATTAAAAGATTATAGATTTTGAGAGAGGGAATCAAGATTATAAAAATTTATTGGAAGTATAATAATAAGGAAAGAATCGAAAGGTATTTTATAAACATCCAATGAGATCTCTTATTCAAAGATATGGTTAATTCTTTCCTGTTAAGAGTATCTACACTGCATTTCCAATGAAGGATAGAGAAAGATTAGATCATTTTTTAATATCTCTTGAAGGGATGAGTTCATAAATTTAAAGAGATTTATAAAAAGTGGATGCATTTTGGTTATTTAAATCAAATCCATTTTTTTTTAAATCAAATGATTATCGATAATCTATAGAATTACCAGTTTAAATATTGGAAGAACCATAATTGTTTGATGAATTTTTAGCAGAACCTGAAAAACATCGTGTAATTAATTTAGATTAGATAATGTTATCAAATTTAGAAAAAGATCTATTACAATTAATGGATAGTTTGATGGAAACGTAGAGAAAATTTTAGAATGAATGTAATGATTTGTAATTTCTACAAAAACCTTAAATATCTAAGATATCTGATTAATTAAGAAAATCTTTAGAAAGTTTGGTATGTTTATCAAGTATGATTGGAAATAATAATTTATAAACAATAAATAAAATGTATGTAATTGGTTAAAAAGATGCTTATTTATATTCACATTAAATATTTAGTTAGAATGATTTTGATTCAAAATATTAGATGTTAGAATTATTATTAAGTGATCTTTGTTCATTAGTATAAGTGAATGAAATGATAATTGTGAAAAAAGCATTAATGATGTTAAAGAGTATTAAAAATATTTATGAAATTTAAAAAATGATAACAACAATTCGAGAATCTGAAATAATTATATTGAAATAGAAACTTGATTTATTATTATAAGATTATTCTGGTGTGAATACATTTATAACAAATGCAGAATAATAAGTAAAAGGATTCTTCAATTCAATAGGAAATAAATTTACTTAAGTAAATAATGTTTGTAATGTATTTTTGGAAAGTGATAAAATAATGGATTCATAATGTAGAAAGTAATTTGCATAGAATCTAAAGAAATAACTTAAAGATATAACAGATTATATTTAAGGTTTGACATAGATAGAAAGAAATGATAATTGTATAAACATAAAATAATTACAATAAGAATTCGATAAAAAAGTAAGTACATTTTATGTGAGAAGTGAATAATTACAAAGAATGAATGAACAAATATCAAAGCGTTTATAATGAATATGATAATTCGATTTTTAATTCTTTTATATTATCAATCATATAAAAATTGGATTAGAAATCAAATATTAATATAAATTAATTATGTAATTTTTTACACCTAAATTCTCTTTTGTGGTGCATAAAACATTCAAACAAAAGTTATTGGCTAGAAAAGAAAAGAGACGTTTTAGAGGATTAAATGTTTATGTCCCTGAGTTTACAGGAGAAGGCTCTATTCATCCTTGGTTAGATGCTAAAAGAATCAAATTATTGACCAAATTCTATGAAGATCATCGTAATAAACATCGTTTCACATTCAAATTGTCTTCAGAGGATAAAAAGAAGTTGAATGAAGTTATGTAAAATTATGCAGAAATACATGTAAAAGATGAGATTATTCATTAAAGTATTTAAGAATGCTCTAAGAAAAATATTGGCTAGATAAACATACAGAAGTGATTATGAATGTATAAAAGGAAGTTAATAGTTTACCATATGTCTTAAAAAGTGAATTGGATAGAAAATTAAGTGAAAAAGAAATGGAATATTATGATCGTCCATAACTTGAACCTGATTCTGTCTATTTTGAATAACGTTTACGTACATTACCAGAAGAAGAAGCATTAAACTTTGAGTTTGCATAAAGATTATTCAGAATAGCATAAGATAAACTTGCTTAGAATGAGTGATTAATATATATAAACAGTTAATTATTTTTTGAAAATCAAATGGGAGCCAATGATTCAAAACCGATTAACAAACTTTTTGAACATTATACATAAATCAATACTCATAATAATGGTAAAGATTGATACCATTATCTTCAGATTTCCCTGAATGCAAGATCTTATAACATAAACGAGATCCTAATCAATAATTAATCTTACGTACAATCAGTATTACAGATGAAGAACATTTTAAGAAGACTATTCATTAATATTAGATTAGATAAAAGATTAATCATCCTAATGTTCTAAATCTCAATAATTACTTTTATGAATTTGAACAATAATTATGTGGATAGTTTTATAAGGTCAATTTATTGTTTGAATATCCATAAAATAATTTAGAAAGAGTATAGACTATTAATGAAATCTAATTAATTGAATATCTCAAATAAGCAATTTCAGGATTAGCATGTATGCAAAGAAATTAAATTTCACATAATACTTTATAACTAAGATATTTATTCTTAATGAATGGAATTGTTAAAGTAAGTGATCCTTAGTATTTCTAACAGAATACTAATTATGTTCAAATACTACAAAATCCTAATTGTTTGGAATCAATTTATTTATCCCCTACTTTAGTTAATACAATTAGGACTAATAATTGGTGGCCAAAACATAATCAATATAAAAGTGATTTATTTACTTTAGGAATGTTATTTTTACAAATAGCATTAAATTAAGTCATTAATGATTGTTATAATTACATATAAGGTAAATTTATTGAAGATCAATTAACTATTAAACTATAAAAATTAAGAACTCGATTTGGATAACAATTTTGTGATTTTATATAAATGATGCTAATTATATAAGAAGATTAAAGACCTGATCTAATCTAAATGGAATAAATTCTTCATTAATAAGAAATATCAAATAAATCATATTATTAATAACAACAAACTCCTCATGTGATTCCAAAATAAATCATACCTACATACCCAATTGGATTGATAGATACAATACATTAACCAAATTAATTACAATTAGAATTTGCATATAATACATAAATTAATAATTAATCAAAAAGAATAAATTAAGTTCAAACTATATCACCTATTGAATATGCTCATCAATATACAATTAAAATAACTTCATAATAAAGAAGTTCAACACCAATTAATAAAATTTCTATTCCAAATTAATAAATCTAATCTAGAGATTGTTCACTCCCAAAATAAAAAACCTAAAGTTAAAATACAAGTTCAAGATAAATAAATTATGAATACTAAAATAAAAAAACCTAATTATAAACTAATAATTTAAACAATACAATAATAACAACTGATTAATCTATTATTAGTAATAAAACTGTACTTAATCTTCCACCAAAATAATAAATTAATTAAAAGAATTCAATATCTAAATAAATCAATTAATAACCAGAATTAAATATACTACCAATATAAGTAATCGAAATTCAATAAGATTAATATGATACTTTATCAAAATTTGTACCTTCAGAAATTTATAGTAAATATTCCAAATTTGATGAGAATATAGACTCTTAAATAAATGAAGACATAAATACTTAAAGATAAAGTAATTGTGATTATTCAAAAATTTTAATCGATTCTACTAATCTACCATAATAAAATAAAAATACTTTAACAAAAGAATTTAATTTGCCATGTGAAACTTCTCAAATCACAGCTGAAAAAGTTGATGCACCTGAATTTGTAGTGGAACATTATGGAAATGGATCTCGTTATGAAGGTATTAAAATGAATGGGATGAGACATGGATAGGGTAGATTTTATTATTAAGATGGAGGTTTGTATGATGGAGAATGGAAAGAGAATAAAATGCATGGAGAAGGTAATTTTTAAGTTATTATGAATAGGAACTTTATATTATGGAACTGGATAACCAGCATATGAGGGGAAGTGGAATTAGGATCAATTTCATGGTTTTGGAACTTTGTATAATGAACATCCTTAAATGTTAGAGGAATCATTTGATTATAGGGATTTTGATTATGTGGAAGAGTAAGTATTGTAGAGATTATTATTATAGTTATTGGATGAAATATAGTGGTAATTTTTAGATGGATAATAAGGAGGGATAGGGAAGTTTACATTTAACAAATGGGGAGAGATTTGTAGGATGGTTTGAAAGGGATTTAATAAATGGGAAAGGAGTATTTTATAGAATGGATGGAAAAATGATGGAAGGGAGATGGGTAGATAATAAATTAGTTTATTGAATTATAATTGATAATCTCAATGATTGTAAATATATTATCATATTTGTTTGTTTAAATATTTAATTATTTTTAAATCATTTTAATTATGCCTAAGGGTCATACATAGTAGAGAAATAAGGCATTTAAGGGAGAATCAAAGCGTAAAGCAAAATAGAAGAGTGAGGGCAAATTGAAGAAGAAAATTAAGAAATAAGAGATCAAACAGACGAAAAAGAAGGATAGTCAATAGGAAATATAGATTGAGAAAAAAGAGAAGGATTAAGAATAAAAAGTTAAAGTGGTTAAAGTAGTCAATACAAAAATCATAGCCATGTTTCCAATGAATTAATAAGCTAACATAGCTGCATTAAAGTATTAGATGTGATTATAAAAAGATTTCAATTAATGTAGCATCTCAATATATAATCAGTGGGAGTAAGTTCTTATTGCACTTAAGATTGTTTTTTAAATGTAGAGGCAAATGGGAAATTAATAAAATAACCATTAAGATTTATATTCTTGGATAGAAATCCTGAATAAATACTAGATGCATGTAAAGTGGCAGACATAATATGTCCAGTATTGTCTTGTAGAGATTGTAATACAAATACAATAAGTTTGGATCCTCATAGCAATGCAAATGCATATGATGAGTAGGGTTATAAGTTGCTTAGTAATTTGAGAGCTTAAGGAATGGTTTAATAGGTATGTTATATATAAGATTTGAATGAAATAAATCCAAGCAAGAAGAATGTAGTTAAAAAATTGTTCACAAGATATTTTGAGAGTGAATTTCCTGGATCTCATATAGTTGATGATTGTTCAACTTTAATGAGAAGTGTTGTTGTTTTACATGAATAAGCAGTAGAATGGAGAGATACACATGGATATATGTTACCTGATGATTTAGCTTATGTTAATGGAGAATTGAGTATTACAGGTACATGGAGAGGATAAAATGGTTTAAGTGCTGATTAATTAGTACATATAACAGGAGTTGATGATTTTTAAATTGCAAGAATAGAATTATTAGGAATGATTGAGTAAGTATACGAATCAAACTAACCAGAATCTTTGGATCCAATATGTAGAGACAAATAACATGATATTGGAGATTGTGATGATCTCTTGAAAGATATAGCAGGAATGCAATTATAAGAAGAGGAAGAACAAATGATTGAATAAGAAAGTGATGTTAGTTATGAAGATCTTGATAAAGAATTTGAAGATGAAGCATAAAAGAAAAGAGAATAATTTGAGATTGTACATAGAGACCCTGAAGATTTAGATTATGAAGATGAAGTTGAATATGGAGTTGAAGTTAAATTGAGAGAACGATATGATAAATATTAAGGATTGAAGAATATTAGAACTAGTGAATTTGATCCTCTTACATTTTTACCAGATGAGGCTGAAAAAATCTATAATTTCAGATTTTTAAAAAAAATTAAGTAGGATGTTTTGGAAGAAATGAAACAAAAGGAATAAATAAAACCTGGATAGAGAATAAAAATTACATTAAGAAATGTACCTGAATTGATTGTTCAAAGACTTACTCAACCTAATAAGATATATGTTATTTCTGGATTATTGAAACATGAAAGGAAGATGACATAAATGCATGTGAGATTTCATAGACATTAGATGCATAATTGTGTTCTCAAATCCAAACATTAAGTATTTGCATAAATTGGATTCAGAAGAGCTCATATCAATCCAATATATTCTCGTATTCTAAATGTAATTATATATATATATAATATTTAGAATTGTAGTAAAACTAAATATGTTAAAGAAATTAAAGATGATACATTTTATTTAGCTTCCTTCTATTTTTATAATTCATTCCCATAATAACCTGTAATCTTTTGGCAAAATGACTTTGATTTCAGAAACAATGAAATTATGGGAGTTGGAGATATATAAAGATGTGATACCTTCCAAGTAATCCTAAAGAGAATTGTTCTTACAGGATATCCAGTTAAAATAAATAAGAGAAAAGCTGTCATTAGAATGATGTTTTTCAATCCAGATGATATTAAATTCTTCAAACCTATTGAACTCTCCACGAAATTGGGATTGAGAGTATTTAATTTCTTTATATATTTTTAGGGAAATATCTTAGAACCCTTAGGTACACATGGTCTAATGAAATGTATGTTCAATAATTTCGTCAAACCCAATGATGTTATCAGTCTCTAATTGTATAAGAGAGTACATCCTAAATTTGTGAATATTTAAATATGAAATATTTATTATGTGTGAAGAATTTCTGTATAATGGTACATTCCAATTTGATATTGATGTTTCTTAAGGAAAATGGAAAATCCTTATTGGTTTGATATATATCAAAGGGTATCAATTAATACTGAGTAATATAGAATCTTATGATATCAAAAGCAAATGGTATTCTCTTTTGGATATTTAGAAATTATGATAAAATTAAGTGATTAATAGAATATTATTAAATTGATATTTTTTATAAAGATATAATAAATATATATTTTATATCACATCATTTAACTAAGATATTTGTACACTCTATAATGATATAAATATTATATTACTTTGTTGATAAGGATGGTACAAATGTTATAATAACAAAAATCATAATTCTCATTTGTTTTTTAAAATTGGCATCAAAAATACCAATAAATTTATCATGACATTTTTTTACATCTCTTTCTACATTACTTTATATCTTTTCTAAACAACTTTTAATTTCAGCTACTTTATCTCTCATTATTATCATTTCTTCAGTTTCTATAATATCTACTTTATTTTTAACATTCCTTTATAAAGGCATTTACATTCTTTTTCTTTAATATATGTAAATCAATTCAATCACTTGTCTATATATTCTATTATCAACTATATCTTTATTCTTAAAATAATAATCAAATAATGTATATAAATCTTCATATATTGCAGTAAGTTTATGAATATTCTAATGTAATTATCATTGTTTACTGCATCTATTTCATTAAAAGTCTGATTAAAATTAGAACCTTGATAGATTCTACCCATACATATTATAAATGATAATACGATGTCTGCATGAATGTTATACAATAAAACATCATCATCACAATAATTTATAGCTCGCATAAATGGTAATTCAAAATTGCACAATGTAAATCCACCAAAACATATAGCTCCATAAAGAGCAAGAAAACCATAAACATAATTATATTCTACTTTCTTTTTCTTCTCAATATAAATAACTACTGTTCTCATAAGATTCCAACTCTGAAGACTAAGTGAACATGTAATATCAATTAATTCATGAAGTGCATTTTCTTAATCCATATCTATAGTAATGATCTTATTCAAAGCTTATAAAATATAATTTCTAGTTTTCAAATCATCATTCAATACTAATTAGAATATAATAGATAAAAAATGCATATAGAATCCCATAAATATAATTGAATAGATAAGAGTATAAGGATGAATAGGCCAAAATAAAAAAAATATTGGAATTAAAACTTTGAGTGTGATTAATGTTATAACCACAATTATTTGTAAATTACTATCTGGAATTAAATATTTTCTAGTATATATATAATGTGGCAATAAAAAATGTTAAAAAACACTTCTATTACCATTAAATCCCAAATCTTAGAGATAATCCAAAACAGACTTAGCCTTCTCTACTTCTTTAATCAATTTTGATTTCCTTTTCTTAGCCATTGGTGATGCCTATATTTCACTATTTATAAAATCTGAACACATGCTAAAGTAAATCATAGTAGGATCTAGATTCTCTTTATCAATAATGTGATCAACTTATTTAGAGAATTATTGAATAGTGTTGAGATTATCTTTATCTTATGAATCTTGTGCTTTGATGAAATCCATATGTGCTCTACCAAGACCTATATTGTAAAAATTCTGTTAGCTGAATAAGAAGGAGAAATTGAATGAAAATACATATCTCTATTCTTTATCTTTTTAAGTTCTAATTTATTGCTAAAAAATAATTTGAGATTATTTACAGCTTTCTCTATTTCCACTTCTTCAATTTTTACCAATTCTTTTTAAGTAATGAATATTGTATACAACATAATGAACATAACACAATTTACTGCCCAATGAAAATATTCCCGGTTGACCTCAGATAATTCTTTAATATTTAGGATTTATAATTACCTGAATGATTAAACAAACCATATATAAATATTGTATAAATACAGACTATGCAAATACAAAGCATATAATCATAGACATATTATCTTGATTATAATAAAGAAATACATTACTTCATATATTATTATCGAAATGTCTTGTCTGTATCAACTTTGCGTAGTAATTTAAAAATGTAAAGACTAACTATCATGTAACTAAAATAAACAGGCCCAGAATTATAGAGCATTAGAATAATTCTTCTTAACAAACATTTTAATTAATATTTCCTTTTATTTGTCCAGAACTTGTGTTCTGATTCATCATCTACCAAAATGTCAAAACTATTGTGATGTTGATTCTATATTAATTACATGTTATTACTATAATAGCCAAGGAATTGTTTAAGATAGAATCTTAATGCCCATGATGAACATTCATTTATATATTTTATATGTTCAAATATTGAAAATTATATAGAGAGTAAAACTGCATGTAATTTTAAACTAATGAAAAATTGTTCTCAGTCTTTTTTATTTACTACAAAGCTATCATAAATAATTAGAAATGGATGCACTGTTACTTTAACTGTTTATCAAGACAGACTATCATTAAGTGGACTTAAGAAAACTAGTTTAAGTGAGAAAATTGAGAAGGAAATTGACTTTTAAACTACTCATTATGTACTTAATTGGGACTACTCTAAGTAAGATTATAGTTTATTCTTTAAGTCATTCTAAAGCCATTGAAGGTTTCAGTCTTTGTAAACATAATACAAGAAGGTATACCTTCGGTGGAAGCAGTGACCAGCTCAGCTAGTTAAAAAGTTTTTTAAGTGGTTTAATGGCTTTTGCCGATTGGGAAAAAGATTTCAAGTATGTGAAACATGTTAGAAATAATTAGAAATGTTAGGTACCATTATTTACAAATCATTTTTAAGATAATCCTTGCCAAATAACAAAACTAGTTTCAAGTTCTAAAACTCATTCATCATCAAGAAGTAAATAACTATAGTAATACAAAATAGAATCCAGAAGAATTACAAGCACTGAAACTACTTTAAAAGCATCCTCATCCAAATGTACTTGGTTTTAATTCATATTACATTGACGATATGAATTGTTATCTTGTCATGGATTACCTATCTCTAGGCACATTGTATGACCTTTAGAAAATGTACAACTATAAATTACCAATCCACATCATCTAAGATGTTATGTAACAGATTTTGGAGGGTATTATTATATATCGAAAAAATTAGGTTTAAACCATTTGCATTAATTAAAAATCATACATAGAGATATTAAATATGATAATATCATGATTGCCTCTATCAATCCATTACAAATAAAAATTATCGATTTAGGACTCTGTGTGATTAATTAACCGTCTTTCTCTAGAGCTGGTACTGGAGGATATATTGCACCTGAAGTATTTTAATCAACTAGAATCACCGAAAAAATTGATATATTTAGTACTGGAGCTGTATTTCATAAATTACTTGTTGGTAAACCTATATATGAAGATCTTGGTTAAAATTAAGCAGGTAATATTCGAATCAGTTCTCATATTCAAAATGAAAATGCTCTCGATCTATTGAATTAAATGTTGAATTTTGATCCTAAATTAAGATACAGTGCTTATGATTGTATAGCTCATCCTTTCTTTACTGATGAATATGATTAACTCTCTTCAAAGTATTAATATCATATTTAATTAAGAACTGATTTATTTTAGTATTTGTCTCCAAAACAAGCAAAGTTATAAGTCTATACTCCAGCAACAGATTTCATATCTAATTAGAATGTGTACCCATTTAAACTTAATTGATGTATTTGTTTATATATTTGTCATTTAATTATCTATTTTTAATTATTTTGTGATACAAAAAAATAGAATTATCAAAAAATAACACAATTAAAAAATTTAATATTAAATATAATATGTTATATAAAATTTTCATAATTAATTTATAATTAAATAAGTTTATTTACAATAATTTTGAGAATTGAGAATATAAAATTTAAAAAAAATAACGATCTTCTTAGATTAAATATAGTTTCTTCTTGATATTTATAATTTATATACAAAAAAAAAATAATTATCAAATTCTTTGTTTTTTTATTACTTTAATTTTTAATTTTGGTTAAATTATAAAGGATGTGCATTTCTTAATATTTTAAGTAGATGTTTATCTTTGCACTTAAGAACATTCTTCTTCTTTATTTTATAATTCTTGCTTATTCTATATAAGAGTAGAATCATTTATTTATTAATGTTTTTCCAAAATCTAACTCTAATTTATAGAAACATTTTCACTAGACTACTATGAAACTTCTAATTATTAACCTTAATTTCGCAATTGAGAATGCGGTTATTACCTTAATAATTTAACAAAAATGTTACAAGTATTTCATTAATTATGGTTTAAGAGTATTTAACAATCCAGGTTGATTGATATCAAAACTACGTTAAATAGTTGAAGCTTGACTTTTAGTTTCCAAAGTATTATTTCCAATTTAAGATATAAAATTATAAACATGTAATCTCGCCTTTTTCCAAAGATAATTAATACGTGCTGGCATAGTAGAAGGTACTGGTTTTTTAATACATTTACCCAACCAAGGAAATCTTTCAATCATAATAATTAATTTTTCTTATATCTTCTTTTTATATTCTAAACTCAATTCAATCATTATTTTATAAATAAAATAAAGAATGAAAATCAAGTTAATGATGGATATTAAAATATTTGTAATATCCACAATGTATTAATTATTATTATCATCTTAAATATAAGCTAAAATTAAACTGACTATTTCTAATTATGTTGAAATCTTATCTAAAACATTGAACTTATGGTCTAAATATGGTTAAGTTTTATTGAGTAATTCTAAATAACATAGTAAAACTAATATGACAAATAAAAATAATAATTTGAAATCTTAAATAAGTAATGTAGAAAGAATATAAAACATTGATTTAACAATAAATCGAACAAATTCCCAATAATAATATTGATTCTTATACTCTATAAATAGGTAACCATAAGGTAATCTAATTTAACATGTCCACAGTTTATTTTTGTTTCTATTAAGTTTAATAAAATAAAACAAAGGCTTAAATAATCCTATTGTTAATAATACAGGAATTATGTAGGCTCTTATATAAATTTAATGTTCATTAGTATAACAAATATATTATGTGGATGCCTATATATAATATTATCCAGATGCCTTAAGACAAAATAGTATTTCAAACAATCCTTCTATTAAATCACCTTAGAAATAAAATAAAACCTAAATTAAACTATTAATAAATATTGTTTAAATTGAGTTTTCCAAATGTTTACAAAGAGATTGAATGAAATATGTGAATATAAAAAGAGATACAAAAATGATTGATGTAATTAGGTTCCATATTTATTTAAGATAAACTATTTCAATTTAGAATTACATTTTAATTAGTAAACATTCAATTTAAAATCCAAAAGTTTAAAGAGGGTTTCCAATAATTTAAGATAGAAATTGAAATGGTTAAGGTATCTTAATATTAAGAACCAATAAAATAGAGAGCAATTAAAAGTAAGTAGATATCATTTTAAGTAACACTTCAGTTTGATCTATAGTCATTGTTGATCTAGTACCAAAATGTAATCCAATAAGTCTAAGATAATGTCCAATCAATTAAGCTCTAGCCATCTTTAAGGCTCCACAAACAGAGAGATAGAGAACACTCTAAAAAATTAATAGATTAATATTACTGATATCCATAAAAATGCTAAAATTGGTTTAATCTAATCTATCAAATTAAATTGACATTCAACACAATAATTGGAAAGACTTCTAGCATATTATTTCTCCCATCTTATTGAATAATAATCACAATCTTAACAAATGGCTCCTAAATATCCTTCCCCACAAGTAAAATTATTTTTACCACCCAAACATAGTGATAATTAGGGTTTGCATTATTCAATACTATCAGTTAGATTATGTGGTCTCCAATATCCTGGCTTTATATCTATTTCAGCTCCACCTGAACAAGAATGAGCCTATGGTATACATTATAAACAGGGTGCTTAGAAATCAAAACTATAAGTTCCATACATGCATCTTTGACATGAATTTCTTATCCATTATTCTCCTATTTCACATTAAGTAAAATTAAGTAAAACTTAAATAGAAAATGGATTGTTATTATATAATTTTAATTATTCCAATAAAATTATTATTGCAAGTTATTCATCTTAGGGTTCTTATTAATAATATAAATATGATATTTAATAATTACATCTGTATTAATCAAAATTATATGAATAATTATTTAAATAGATATTTTCTTAGAATTTACATAATCTAACTTTGTCACTATCCAAAATACTTATATTAAAATTAATTTCTTTTCCACTTTTAAAATTTTGAAAAGATAAAAAAATCTATTTTCTTATTAAACTATTAAGACTATAAGTTTAATTAAAGATCTCAAAGAATACTGGTCCATCTATATAGAAATCAGTATGTAAAGCTGTTATGGATTCAGTAACTAAATATGTAAATTATCCTTTTGAAGATGTAATATTTGATACACTATTATTTTCTATATAATATGTTGTATTATATGCTTGAATGTGATAAATAGCACCTCCTTTTTATTTTGCTATTAAATTGATAAAATCATTTTATAGTATTTTTATAGAAGAATTGAAAATATAAAAACTAGTTCCATCAATAGCTGTTATATTAATAAATTGATTATTTATGGCTGTAAAATTTATAGTGTTTTCAATACTTAATGTACCTTAAAATGTTAATAAATTTGAGAAATTTGATTTAGAAATTTGTGCAGAATGAAAATTTGAAATTTTAATAATTCCTTCACAAAATTAACATTCTACATTATTGATAATTAAACTTGTTAACTCAATTACTTCACCTTCAATTATAGTTATTATTTATTGAGCATTAGATGATATATTTTTTAAATTTAATCTTTTCAATACTAAATTAGAATTTTATGAGTATATTAAAGTACTAAAGAAATTTTAGATATCTTATATAAATATATCTTTCATAAATGTGTTTGTTTGATTTTAAACTATAAAATTACATTCTTTACAATTATTTAATTTTATATTTTATAAGGTTACACTTATAATAGTGTTAAATTTAGCAAATATAATTTATTCACAAGCTATTATTGTTAAATTTGTTAAATGAAGAGTATTAGAATCAGATATTGATAATATTAATTGATTATTTAGATCTTAAAATATTACTGAATCTATCCAAACTTCATGAATTATTATACTATTAATTAATGAACAATTATTTGATTTGAATATACCAGTTCTAATTTAAAATGAACCACTCATGTCAAATAATTTTCTAGATGTACTCTCTATTAAATTAAATTAATTTATTAGAAGTATTAGATCTTAACTTTAATTTGACAATAATATACTCCCATCTAATTCCTAACATGTTATATTCTTAATATACATGTCAGTACTACTTATTTAAAAGATAGATTAGACTTTCAATTAATAATTCATCATATCAGTTATATTAATATATGGACTATTGACAGTAATTAAAGAAGAATCTGATGTTATTAATGAAAAATTAATATTTTTCATTTGTACTTAATTTTCATTATCCAATATAAATAAAGTAGCTTTACTGAGTGAAACATTTCTAACTGAAATATGGACACAACCTGATGCTTTTATCAAGGATGATAATATTATAAATGAATCATATAATTTAATTTCTTAAATTATATTACATTTTAAAAATTCACTTGATGCAATAAAAGAATTTGATATTACAATTTAATTAATACAATCTACACTTCCTAAAGTTGAATTAATAATATGAACTGATTCTAAAAAAAGGTTTTAAAGTTCAAGGTATTGATTTGTGATTGAACTTTGAAATAATGAGGTATCCTTTATAAATAACCCGTTAATCATAACAGGTGAAGAAAACATTTATCTATTTCTAAATACATTTTAAGTAATAGACACATTCTCAATTATGATTAATGAACCTATAAAACGACAATGCTTCTAAAGTGTGACCTTTTTTAATATGATTTGAGAATCAGAAATTATTGAATGTGTATTTGTATTAACTTCTAATTCTTAAAATTCAACACTATTGAATCCTTCAAAGTAAACATTCTCATTAAGTTAAAGTTTTTATCCTGTTATAACTAAACTTGCATTCTATGATGTCATATTGATCAAGACTTCTTAAGTAGTATCGAGATAACAATTATAGTTGGGAATTAAGATTGTTAGTTCCATTTAAACAGTTAAATTATGTGAGTCTTTGCATTTCAGTTGAGCTTTGCATATATTGAGAAAGGCCACCAAAATCAAAATAAACATTGAATATAATCAATGCATTTTAATACATATTATAATAACTCATAATCATTCTAATCTTACAAATAGATCTATACAATTAACAATGTCTTTAAATATTAGGATAAATATAATTTATTATAATTATGAGTAATTTCACCTCAACTTCAGGATGTCCTTTCAAATATCCAACTGAGCATCTCAAAAATGATAGTAAAAGCATAACATTTAGAGATTTCATGCAATAACAATAAATCAAAGAAGATTAAAAGTTTCAATTAACAGGACGATTGTCTACTCTACAAGCTTCCCCTAAAATTTCTAAAAAATCTAGATGTGAAAAATAACTAAGCACTCTATTACGTTAAGAACCATAAAATCAGTTCATAATTAAACATGATTCACAAAGTCAAGTGACAATTAATGACTTTGGAAATAAAGTAAAGACTTTTAAAACTCA